AAAATTGATCAACAAAAGTCTTTGTGAAACATATAGTACTGCTGTGGATTGTTTAGATTGTACGAAAAAAAACAATACAGGAGATACAATTCAGTAACTCGACAAAAGCCAGAAAGTTCATAAATCCTCAAGTACTTACTTGAGAAAGCCCCAATAGCGTGGAAAGAATGTAGAACTCATCACATCAACCATTATTCTTGTTAACCAGCCTACGTATGTATTTAAAAGTTTTAAGCCGTCCTAGTCAGTTCATTGGTTGTTAATGTCAAAACATAAAAATCACTATCCATCTTTGCTTATAATGCTTGTAAATTAAGGCAATATTGAGGCATACGCACAGTATGCACATATGCCAATAAGAGACTGATCAATTTCAGTCCTAAAACATCAATGGGAAGATTCAAGTAAAAACAATGCCAAGTGAAATAAAAACCATTATTTATATGGATTCAACAAGACGATCGAAGAAAAATCTCCCATCGCAAAAGAGGAGAAGATAGGGTGAATTGTGTTGGGGAAATAAAAATATTTTTACATCCTGATAAAAATCTATAGATATCAAGATGCTCAATCATACGAGTTTTTCGTGAACCACATTAAATTTCAGTGATCATTACAATTTCCAACTACTTATAATATCTCAGTAGTAAAACGTATAAAATAAAACATTTTAAAGCAATGTCCAGAACTTCAACATTCAAGGACTTATCGGTGGAAAGACATCATCATTAGTCATCAGTGTGGTGTTTGAATGAACTAATGATTCCTTTGTACCTGTCGGATGTTTGATTTTGAATTCCAAATACATTACATTCGTTCGTGCCTATATAGCACTTCTTGATCCAATTGCGTTATTTCCGGGATTCTTAGTTTATACTATAATTCAAATACTCCTAATTATCACAATCAGCCAAATATAGGAAATAAATAAAATCATTTTTCTTCACCAAAATGAGATACTTATCCGATGGCGGGATAACATGTTTGATTAATAGTCCTGGGCTAGTAACATTAAGACAAATGTGGTCTCACGAAAATAGAATGTGGTTCGTACACTAAATTCTACGTTTCTTATTACATCATGCTTCAATCTAGCATTGAATATTGTTACTTCAGGACATTTTTCTTTTGTTTCACTAAATAAAGTTTTGGTAAGTGAAACAGATTGGTTCGCTAACCGAAATTATAAATTATCAGGCATGTAAATATATCTTAAAACGGTTGTTCTTGTCCACTCCGTAACTTGTCGACAGTAACAAAATGTTTTTAACAATCTGTACATCGTTCGTTCTGTAAGGAAATTTTTATAGACGCATTAAAATATCTTCACAAAAAACAATCATTCTTTATATACTTACGTGAGTCAATTTCTCTACAAAATTCGCGATAATTAATGAACTGAGGGTTTGTTGTTGAACGGTAGTAGTTTGCAAGCATTTGAACCTCCTCGCGACTTAATTTAGCTTCCTTACCAACAGATGATAGGAGAGCACATGTAAATTGATGTTCCGTTACTTCATCATGTTTTAATTTATCATAATCCACAAAGAAGTCCATAACACGTATACCACGTTTCCGAATAGTACATTTTATGCGATCAACAATCATATGTTGTGATGGAATTGATAAATTATCTTTTCGGGAGACATGATCAATATCTCTGTCTTTCTATATAAGGATGAAAATTTAAATGCACAGTATGATACATATAACAGTATTATTCAGCCATATATACATAATCCAAGTTCATTTTCAAGGTAAAGTCATATTAATATGTTAGGATTCCACTAATATTATTAACAACAAACTTGATACAAAAAGTCATTCCTTAAAATTATAATTTTGAGTTGAGTATAGCCAAAAGGGAATATAATTATTAACTACTAGCAACAAACCATCAATTCGTAAATCGGATAAGTCTAAAACAAAGACAACGCTTGAGATTTCTAAACCAGATATAAACAAGATACATTCTCTTCAGTGGGACAAATTTTGCATTAAAATTATACACCGTTTTAGATACCTATTTCAGGTGTTATGAGTACTTTAGCTGGTAAACACTTATTATCATTCGAGTTATAAAACACCGAGTTCGTGAAACCGTGTTACGTTTGAAACGAACTTTTACTTTCGTTTTGTTCTTAAACATTTGACGTAATCTCTTCGAAATTATTTTTACAGATTTCGGTTCGCATCACAGCAAATGATGACTTAGTTGTTATTCATTCACAGAGGAGAAATTAATTTCCGGAAGTCCATTTTTTAGTTCGCAAAAGAGACAAACTTTAGTTAGTTACTCATAATCCTTATTTCGTTAAACTACAATACAATTACTGGGGCCAAGGGTTTGAGGTTTGCAAATAACAATTTCACTCAAAGTTCTGATTCAATAGTTGTTTGTATTTACACAGTATCTCCTCATGGTTTTCAAAAAATTACTATCAGTGTCAAATGTAGCATTTCTGCATTTTTTTTTGTAGACTTTTGTTTACCTAGATTCCATAATGCGCATTTGCGATCAACTGAAGCAGTATAGACAAGATAGATGGGCTTTAAGTTTGAAATTATTCATAGTAGTTAAATAATACAACTATCAAAGTAAAACATTGATTATGAAGTCTTTTCTCTAATAGTTATGTGCTCAAGAACACAAACTTCAGATATAATATAAATATTTTTTTATTACACGCCAATGAGCAGAATAATTGTATTTTTAATCTGTAAACACAGTTTGTGTAGAAGCGAACAAAACTGTATATTTTACTCTAACTAAAGCGTTTATTAGTGTGTTAGTTGTCTCGCAATTTAATCTAGCATATAATGCTTTTGTCGTACCTTGGCGGTAAGGAAAAACCGCAGTATCAATTCAACATCTTTCATTAGGACTGTTATTTACAGACAGACAGTTTTTTTAAAATATATTTTTTAATAATTTACCTAAGAAACTTATTAGAATGTAGAATGTTTATTATAATTTCGTTTTATTTTAGTTCGTTTTCTCCTGAATTAATGATATTGATCGCTTTTCGGTAAAGATTCAGCACTAGAAAACCTTTTGCATTGAATGGATATGCAGAGTTAAAATCAATGTGTCGGTTTTCGATATATGGCTAGCTTTAAATACAAAATCATGTATACAGGTCAGATTGTGTTAATTTCGGTGTGTTCTATGGTAAACAGTCTTTCCTCGAGATTTCAACACGTGCCAAGTAACACTTCAGGTACACAAAAAGATCTGATAATCCTACAGAATTGGACATTTTACAGGTTAAATCAGCAATAACAGGACATGCTTTTTTCAATAGTCACCAAATCAATATTAAAAATATCAAAATTAATCAGAAAAGTCTTTACAGATATAGAGGCGAGTATCCGAAGCGTTTCATATAATGCTAAATTCTTCTGCCCTCAATCGAAAAGGTCTGAATATTCATGCAACCTGAATTATTGATCCATACAACTGTAGTGAAGAAGAACATGAGTGGTGACAACCAAATGTATCTGAACACGAAATTACAGAATATCTTACTAAATCTGAGAACCATACAGTAAATCTTCAATTTGCAAAATAACAATCCATTGTCTCAAACTTGACTGTTTCCTTTGCAAATATCAGTCCATAGTCTCAGCTTTCATTTTTTCTGCATTTTCATGCCAATTGCCTTCTGTTCTCGTTCTTTCCTTCTCGACCTTTAACTGAAATAATTCTATTCCTGACTATCGTTATTTACTACTTATGTGTACATAAGTAACGCACACCTCACAATCATATCTGACCTTAGTTATTTTCCACACAATCTACACACACCTACTTGATTTTAAAAATGAAAACATTTTCCATACCCACACTCTGACATACAAATTAATAGAGTAACAAGTCATAAAAATTCAAATTGACCAAGAATCACTTGACATTGAAGTATTTAGGCATATTAGAATTTGATTGTGATGAAAATATTCTGGTTTATTTATACTATTTGAACTTGTGTCAACTTAATTCAGCTATTTATTCCCTCCGAAGAAATGGCTTACATTAGGCGACAAAACGTTATAAATACAATTTTAGTACTCATTGGCATGTAACATAAAATATGATTATTATAGGCTTAATATATTTACCAAGACTTACTACAAGTTTTGTGTTGTCTTCCAAAGCCTTTTCGTATGATTCGATCATTTTAAGGTCTTTTTCAAAAGCCAGATAATCTACAAAACCAGGATTATTTAGCGATTTATAACGCTGAACGAGTGAAATCATTTCTTCCTCACTGATATCCTTCGGACCAGGAAACCCTCTGAAAAACTGCAAACATTTGTTAAAATTTGTAAACATTTACAGACTTGGCTTTCGGTCACTTCACCTAAGTTATGAACATCATACTGTTTATAACATTGGCGTATTATATAACCTTGGTTAGAGATAAATTGATTGATTCTGGAAAGCAGTGGTTTTATATACTCCAGTTTTTCATCACTGTACAGTTTATGCTGTGATTTTGTGCCCACGATCGGAGATCTAATCGGTTAAAGGTAATAAATAAATTACTCGATTGTTTGGAGAACCTTGGATTCCGGTGTTACACTAAAATCATTCTCATTATATTTACCTTCTATCTCACGAACAAATTTCCTCCAGTTAATATATCGGTTCCCATCAATTCCGTATTTTTTAAAAATAAGTTTTTCCTGTGAAACGTCAAGTGGGACACCGATTAGATTTCTTAAGATTCTTAAGAATTGGTTTCCTGGATCTTATGGATTTATGTTTATGCTATATTACCAGTGACATATCCAGATCTTAAGTTATCGTAATCAAGAAAGTTTTCATCAAATCTGCATCGACGATCTTTTGCAATGTCTCGAATGTAGTTTTCAACATTTTGCACTGCATCCAAAGCCATATCCAAATCAAATGTGGTCTGAGGCGTTACTAACACTATTTTGATAAAATTCATCAATAAAACAAATATTACACACTTCACAATTTAGCATTATTGACAATGATCGAAGAAACAATACCCGATATCATTATATTTACTGTACACCAGTAAGTTTATCTTTTCTCGTGTCTTGTTGTTAACTTTCTGTTCCCAGCTATTAGACAACATTAAAGGAGAGTACTCCCAACATCCGACTGCAGAATTCTTAATTAATTGCATAGTTGCTTATGGGTTCTTACGTACTGAGTATAAGTGAGTGCGCCGCTCATCTAAAGTACAAAAGATATCCTGTTTAAATTTTTGTATGCTGATTTTAATACAATCGCTTCGTATTCATTGCTCTAGTGGCACTAATTCTAATTAGAGATCATGTGAATTATTAAGATTATGGTTGTCAGAAGATTGTGAAAATGGGGTCAGAATATACCATTTCAGCACCTTATAACGGTTGCATTTTAGTTAACATATCGGAGTGATAAAGTAAGCGTTGTCGCCCAGTACAAGTCTCCAAAATAAGTAGTTTTGTAAGTTTTCGATATTTGATGCTGACCTTACTGGACACACCCTAGCTGAAGGCCCTAAGTCATGCATCGACGTGCTACTCATCGCTTACAACCGTTAGCCAGATTAAATTAAATACTTCCCGAGATATCGATAGCTTTTCAAACGCAACTTCGAACCTCTTCACCCCTGACTTCTTATTTGACTGGGTTGGCATACTTCGATTATATAATTGTAACAGGTAAAGCCCTTTTCAAACACTGAATATTTGTCGCATCTTTAAAAGTAACAACACTGTGTCATTGAAGATGCCACTTGATATTTGTTTGATCGCTTCAAAACTCCGCTGTTAGCTATTCATAACTAACATATTATGGATTAGAATTAACCCTAATTGTGGGACTAATTTTAATGAAGTTTGTCGTAACTAATAATAATTTATGCATGTTCATTATATAAGAACAAAATACATGAATTAGTAGTTTAGTTACGTTTTTTAATTAAATCAATTCGAACTGTTAATTTTACTAATTGAATACGTTCACTAAACCGATGACTAATTAATATCGTGTTCTGCTCATTCAAATTTAATTAATGACCGAATATTTTAAGTGACATATTTCATAGCACATCTTGGTTTTTTTTATCAGTTGTGCTTCACCGTTGCAGTCAGGAGTTCATACACAGAAAATATTGATTTACAATCATGCGTTATTTGTTTTATCGCGCAATACTGTCCTCGTTTCATTCAATGAATAGAAAGTAGTGGTTCTAATTCTTAGCCATAACAATCATTCACACCACCAACATTCTTAAAAACAATTGTGACATCGTCGTTAACCATGCTTTTTTTCCTAAATAATTTTTTTACCACTAATGTTTTAAATAATGTTCACTTTTGCATATAACGGATGGGTTAATATAATGTTTGAAAGTATTTGAATTATTGTATGAACTAGGAATCCCAGAACTAACGCAATTGAATCAAGAACTACAACACAAGCACAAACGAATGTATTGTGTTTTGAATAAGAAATCGAGCAATCAACAAGTACAAAAGAATCATTAGTTAATTCAAACACCACAGTTAGTGTGTTTAAACGCTGACATTGCTATTCAACTACATCAGACTTTTGCCAATGAAACTCAAGCGAGTCCTGTACTACAAACGCTCTTATATTGTGAAGAATTAGATTTCTATGGTCAGAACGTGTCCATGCATCCATCATTTCTTAACCCTTAATAGACACTTGACTCTCTCTTTCTCTCTCCTTGTCCAAGTAGCGAAACTGGCATTAATGGGGTTCACAGACGAACTCACGTTGTGACTTAAAAACAAACCTATAGCCTCGAAAGTGAACTGTTATTCTAACAGGGGTACAACAAAGAACTATCCTAAGGTGTACACGAATCATGGATTCCACTACGGATCCCTTAAATACTTTAGTTTATAAACTGTCGTCTACACAAATAACATTATATTATAGTGAACATATATAAATGATAGAGATTCACTGCAGCTCTAAGAATATTTGGAACTACCCAGACAGTGAAGAAGTCACAGCGGTTTGTGAACCAGGGGGCCAAGATGTAAATTAGTATCACTTTCTACCACAGAAAAGCAAGAGTTCCCCCTTACAACAAAGGTGACCTGGTCATGATGAATAGCATAATAGGAGAACCGGACCAACCCAGCAAAGCGCCTCCACCTTAAGCCTATGGATTTGTTCCACGAAGAGACCTTCAAACAATCAGACGTCAAAGAGAGAAGACTGATGTGAGTTCTCGTATTTTTGCTCCAAGTTTATCCTAATTCAAATGCTTTCTCAATCAAAGTGTTACTTTATTCTTCAGTAGACTGTTTCAACTAAAGGCTCGATAATCGTGTAAGCAACCATGGATTACCGTCTTTGAACAGGCGTACCTACTTTTCACAAACATTAAATAGTTTCACTGCACGATGTGTGACCGATCAGTTCTGAGGAGGTGAAATAATAGTTGTTTAAGTGAAAATCAGCATCCTTGTGACGTACCACTTAAACTAGATTTATGAAACACTTGGCTTCGTCTCATACTGTCATTACCGCTTCTGATATTTCAGAAGAAATCAGGATTGTACCCATTAAAAGCCCCTTAGCTTTGTTATCTGTAAACACTGTCAAGAGACACGAAATAATACGTCTAAGTTAACGTTTTCAACTGACCATTCGTTGATTTACTTAACTGCTTAGTTGCTTATCGTTATAAACAGCTCTGGGATCCACATGAACCCATTATCGACCACCAGCTACTCTTTGTAATTCAGTCTTCATAAAGTACATCAACTCATATACTGAACACTCGAGCCCTACTAAGATTATTCATATTCTAACGTATGAAAACGTATTCCCCTGTTTAAAGAGCCAACATTTCTCATAACAACATAACTATGTAACTTATTACGATAAATCATGTGGCATTTATAGCAACCAGCAACTGGAATGCTTTATGCCACATATTCTTATTTGAAAACAAACTATAATTATTATGACTACAACATACTGATTGACAGTTACAGGCGAATCGTTCACAATAAAAGAGGCACGTAATTAAGATCGAAATTGCCTTCAAATACTCAGAATTTTATCCTCCAAATATTGAGAACAACGACAGAAAAAATAAACATTTCCAATTTTACTACCTCCGTACTGTTCCGTTATCTGACTACATAAACTTATCACCATGAATCATTTTGAACTTTGACGCTGCTAGAACGGACAGACCGATTCAACGAGCTGTATCCGTCTGAAGCAGAGGAGGATTGTTTCGCATTTGCTTTGATTATCTTCACCACGTCTCCTGTCACATACGAAGTTTTTCAAAATGAACTATCCTGTTTGTCCTGACATCCGAATAATAATGCTTATGTGTGTACATATACATCCCTCCTCACTATTTTTTGCGTCGATATTACTTTTATCTCTTTTTGACCGATAAGCCTTTTTACTCCTGTTCTATCCTAATCGTGTGGTTATGTTAAATCCATGTGGCTTGTTGCTGAGATGGTATCCTCTAAAGTTCTCCGGAACTCCTATCTTTCTTGTGTGAACGCAACCTTTTGAGAATATTAAACACCACCCTCCTGACATCTTTTAAATTTATACGGCCATTTTTGATCTAAACCATCCTCTACAGACATCACCGAATGACTGTAAACGTACTGTCACAAAATGAAAGCAAATAAATAAATTGGTTCTAAGACTTTACACGACATAGCACTCATATATAAACTGTAGTTTATGTTGGCTTTCAAATGGCTTTGTCTTTAGTGTTATGCTTACACAGAATAGGGCTGATTCTTGTTTTATTACAAAGATTTTAGGACCCCACTTATAAAATACAGAGGCATCACCATTCTAGGTAAAAAAATCTATACTGAACTGCATAACACTTACTTGGTGCTGTTTAAAACAATCTATCGCAACAGAAACGCTTTGAAACTTTGGATAGGTTGTACAATTTTGTTTTTGAAATCCATGTTCATGATCTTAAGTTTCTACTTCGTCCAACAAAATAGTATCACAGTGTAACGCACTCCGAATTTAGAATACATGATATCGCACATGAATCTATGCTCTCATATCAAAATATGTGATGAGCAAATATTTGTGGACAAGGTATGAAATCGCACTCACAAACTGCCCGTTTATTTTAGGCGTGAAGAATAGTCGACTCTGCAAGTTGTCACACTGCTTTCAGTAGGTCGATAAACGACCAGAAATAACTGAAGTTAAGTGTATCTGTGAGTTCTGTTCTTGACCATAGGTCTTGTTTCATTTCGGTTTGGGTGCTTCGGGGTTAGAATCATTTATAAACGGATATGGAAAATGTTTAAAACTAATTATACAAAAAGGCTATCATCTGACTTGTAACATAAAGAGTAATTAAGTTCTCTGTTGAGACTATACGAAGTTTGTTCTACTGTAAATTGTACTAAATGTTATTTGTCTCGATATGAACCTTCTTATCCTCCCGAGTTTTGCAATATTTTATAAATGTAAAAGAACATTTTCATCTGACTTGTGACATATAAAGGCCTTATGTTTTCGGCTTTACCCATGTCATCATTTTGCCACTTTTGTATTTTTGCGTGTTGTCTACAAGCATTTTCTACTTCACTTAGTTGCTAACTGAACTTTTAAGGAAGGATGTCTCCGTGTTGCTAGAAGTTACTAGAAGAGGGCAATCGTTAGGTTTAGTGTGAACTTTTTATTACAGTCACGAAAATTTTCCTAAACAGAGATTTGAACTTGCAAACCACTGACAAGTTTCAGTCATAAGATACAAAAAGCCATTCCTTATAACTCGTTCCTCTTGTATATTTTCTGACAGTGTGAAATAGATACATTACATCAAAAGTACATAACACAAAGTACAAAGCCACGCAATACTTTATCTATCACAAATACTGTGGGATAAATGGCATTTAAGTTCTGACTTTACCAACGACTTATACTCATGAATCTGCTGCTCATACACTGGTATAAATTCTCATTTTTTAAATGATTTAAATGATTCCACTTATCCCTATATATATATATATGTGACGTCTAAATTCAGCCCAATAAACTACATAAATATTATGCACCAAGGATTCCATGTTGTATGAAACACGTGTTGTCAAAAAGAGTAGTACTTATTATTATCGCCGAAAAACACACACGTAATTGTTTTTTGTATCACTTCACCAAACTCAATGAACAATATATTAGAAATATATGATCGCCATCCTGACCACAAATAAAGATAAGCAACAACTCGTGTTTAATTGCTGACTTATTAATCTGACGAGCATATCAATTAGTCTGTTAGATGAATATTGTCAGGGAAAAGTAGCATAGCCAAGTAGATCAACATGGTCTACTAACTGCTAAGTGACATAATTTTTATAGCAAACGTCACTAATTGGCGAACATGGTACTTACGACAGTAGAATGAACGGTGACCTGAAATAGCAACTCTTGTCTCAAGGGCATTAAAGTACAGATAGAATTTACCTTGTTTTATAGTTTATAGTCAATTTTTCGGAGCCGGCATCTCCATATCACAGTTCTGGTTGTGGTCAGTATGTTACGTGAGTGTACAGCTCGTAGTAGTGTATTGATGTGTGACAATACTCAACGCATGATTCATATTCTGACTATTGCTGTATAAACAGTTGTAATTGAAAATGTTGTCAATAACTGTACCAGTGAATGAACTTACCGTAATCGCTGAACAACCGGATCTCTGTGCCGTTCTTCACTAATTCTGATTTGACACTTTCTGATATATAATTGCTTTCATATTCTCTTTTCAGAAAGAATGTCGATACTTCAACCACAACGGCTTGTGTTCACGTTATTCACAGATTTCAGTGGAGCATTTCATAATGCAGCTAATTTGGGAGATGTTCAGAATTTTCCTGACTTCTCAATAATAAACAGGAAAGGATGCATTCTATATATATAAAGACACGAAGTGAGTTCCTTCCTTTAGTGCTAATATATTTTATCTTTTTGCCCTTTCTACGATCAAGCACTTCTGAAGTCATCACAGAAAGATTTAAAAATAATGGTCGAATAAAGTAAGGGTAGATCACACTTCATCCTGTCACCTGAAAGAACTACAAATGATTATATTGCAGTTTATCAATTACTTAATAATAATTTTTCTGTAACTATTGCTTTATTTGAACAGACATTTTTTTTATTCTCAAATAACAGTTTGTTACATGAGGCATGCCAGTTTACAGGCAAGATCAAATTGATACAAATGATACAATATACACTGTAATAAATTACATAGCTGGGTTGATAATTTATAAGATATGAATGTCGATCGTTTAAATCAGTACCACAGTTGGCGCGCTTCATGAAAGTTGCGTTGCGAATGTGCGACTGATGGTCAAGGATAGGTCCATTGAAGGTATGGGCTTCTAAAAATCGCAACCTTATTTCCTTCTGAGATATCCAAGGCTTTAAGGATGGTGCAGGATGAAGTCACCAGTTCCATTTCTCAAGGGGGCTGAAAGAGGGAGCAAGTCTAACGCGCTGTATTTTTTCGCTTTTCATAACAGAGCAACTACAAATACACCCAAAAACGGTCCACTAGCCCGAACTAACTACCGATTTTCTCACTGGATTGTCGATCGATAGGACTCTCTATGTAGAAATGTAGTTGAACTTTCGTTTGTGAGTTTGCTCTAGATGAAAGTAAATCGGCAAAAGGGCCCAGATACTACGACTAAATCATTCTCTTCACCCTTCCCGTTTTTCACGGTCCGAAATAGAGCGATCACTTGTAGTGTATGATTCGACCAAAGGGATGGAATCCCCAAAGAGTAGATAGCGCCAAAATTTCTCGTTAATATAAATAAATTTCAGCATATTGATATCGATATTAGTATCATTAATTTTACTGGATGTACCCCTAACTGAATGTAACTGGTCAACAACTCTGACAAGGCTATGTTCCAGCATCTCGAGCCTCACATCTTTTATGACAACTAGACGCCTTACATAGCGTGAACACCCAACACATCGATCGTCAGCAAAATATATCTTTCAGTCCTTTTAAACTAATCTTTTTCCTAAAATATAGGGAAAGACGAGGATAAATCCAACACCAAAAATCTCGTTGAACCAACAGTAGCTCCTCCCTTGACACACTGGTCGAGCTTACCTACCTATATCCTATATTGACTAAAATACGTGCCCCTTTAAATTTTAACATTCCAGACAGGTCGGTTGAAGAACAATAAGGCTAAAAGCAGGGACATAAGGTCCGAGGGTGGAGTCGCACCGTTGACTGTAGAAGGGTCTGACAAGAGTAAGGTTTTATTCTTTGACAACCAGCATCTGCAGAGTCACAACACTCCTGCAACGGAAGGAAAATATTAGGAAACGATGACTTTGAAAATGTCACACCCCATATTACCCCACGGATTCCCGCCTCCAGTGGCAAGGCCTCTTGAATTGCAATACTAGCACATAGAAAATGTTTTACTAGAAAGGCGTGAGTGGCCGACCTTAAGCAGCTGTTCATTGAGCTCTGAGCTTAAGCTCTAAAGTTGATAAAACCACTATTAACTTAGCTTTCTTCTCAGATCCCTTAGGAAGAAATGGCTCAACAGTGTGAGACACAGTGAAGTGAAAACCGCCATCATACCTCCATAACTATCCAAAATCATATTGTTAGCAACCAAATCCCTCCCCCATTTCTTAATAATTATATTCTCGTTACTGTATATCCTCGTATATCTTTATCGTTAAGCTCCACTAACGCTAACTATTTGAGTTTACTAAGTGCTATTCCTGGTCTCATGAAATCGCACTTAAGATATCAAGTCATAGCTGCTAAAGTCCAAACCTTTTATCATGTATGATAACTGGCTTCTTTAGTTATGATCATGGGATCTAGCGTCATTCATGAATCCCGCCTCACTAGAGCGCGCATACGGGATCAAAGTATATTCATCCGTTTGACTGCACCATGCTAATTAAAAGAACTGGCATGATTATATTTTATAGTACTTGGTCATCCCACTAATTCTCCCCGTGACCACGCTGTAGGTATAGCGGTAAGATCCCTCAGGCTGGAATCCAATAGATATTCGTTAATACTTTGTTCGGCTTAACAGTATAGTCAGGACTGGAAAAGTTGGGGGCGCAAGCCATTTCTTTTTCTCTGTCTCTGCTTACACCCACAGTGACTGCAACTCCGAATGAGTGGAAGATGACTTTCGTATTAAGCAGTACAATGTCATACAGAAGACTAGACGTAAAAAGAAACCGACCAATAAACTCAAATAGATCGTACTACCATTAGCCTTCATTGAAGAGGTTCAATAGAAGACCGTTGCTCATTCTGGAGCGAATGTTTAGACTCGGATTACGCCGGAGTACGAGCACGAGTTTGCCTACCACGACGAGAAAACCCCTTAAAGTTTGACCTAATCAGTTGCCTACTATCTCCAAGCAACCTCAATGGCAAATTGATGTAGTCTATCAGAATCTTGGTGAGGTTGAAATGTCTATGAAGAATCTAACGCGATGGAGCCTAACAGGAAGTGATGTTTCAACTTCTACGATCTCAAGAAACGGTCCAATTTAAGCTATTAGATTGACTGAGATTTCAGCTAGAACCTATGAACTGAATGTCATCCAATTTGAACTTCCTCGATCGCCGATCATCCCAATTTATAAGAAAGAAAACGTTCCTCTCGTAATAATCAAAAGGGGTCAGTTTGACTAACACAGTGTCCAAGACATTACAACTAAAAATTCATTAACCCCTAACTGAAGCGCGTGAACAGTGAATCCGAGAAAAGCAGACTAGTTGTAGACCTGAACGTGGATGTGTAAAACCGAATATTTACTCTTCGGCAAAATCTGGAACATAGATATACTTTTTGACAAGCAGCTGTGTTCCTTGACTTTAAGGTATATTTCGAATATGTTGATCATGAGGTTACATCCCAGTGTCTGCGTTAAAAGTTGTACCAAAGATGTACAGGAATCCTGTTTAGTCTGTCTATTAGAACACGATTGGCCGAGTCAAGGCTTATGGTATATGGTATATTAACGAAAAATTCTTCTGTGTTGAGCAGAGTGCTTAAGAAAGTTAGCGGGATGGGTAATGATACTTTTGAGGTCGTTATGAATATAGTCGTGAACAGATATTCAAAAGCTTGCAAAATCCTGGCAAATGTTATCTCATTAAATACTGACCATCTGCTCCATTAACATCCCATCCCTTGTATATCATCAGGTAGAACGAGATACCTATACATGCACCCAAGCAAAGGCATAAAATCTCAATAATATTGTATGTATTATATAATCTACGTGACGAATAGGCTGTAAGAACTGACCGAGTCGAAAACTTGTATTTTCAAGCGTTCTGCTAAATAAAATTTGCATATTTTTTTATCTCTTTGGAGACATTTCACCTAATCTACGAAAAGCTATTTACTTACTTCGTGTATACATACATGTAGTTGTCGATTTACTTTCCTTCCATACGAGAAATTTTTTTGGAATTTTGTGTGCTGAGAACTCTATATTTTACTAAACATACTATACTATATAAAGCCAATAGTAATAAAAAAATAGATAACTTCTTTGCTTTCAACTCGTATATATGCTAGGGAGAGCTTGTTAGGAAATCTGACAAGGAGAGGAACAAGAGGCAACGTGAGTTGAGGACCCTGTAAGCAGTCAGTGACAATTATCAGTATAGTAAATACAATTAAAGCTGTCTGAAAGTCGAACTTAGATATCAGCGAAACAGACTTTCTAATATTTCACATTCCTCTCAATTAAGACCTACCACCTTAGTTCTCGTCAAAGTCTGAGTTAGGATAAAGTCGAACCACATCTCTGTGACGTCTTCTTGAAATATCTTGGTCCTCTTTCAAATGATGTTATCAAACGTGAATCTTTGAAAGTCGCATAGCTAATAAAAATGTAATTATTTTTGTCTCATCACGGATTTATTATAAGGCCAATTTCGAATAATAATATTCCAGCTCTGACTGACATAAGTAATGTGCCATCCTTTTGTAAATCATACGCCACTCAAGGTCACCTCTGCTACTGGTTTCACAGTACAGTAAGTCGATTGGCAATTTTAAGCATTTGTTTTCCAGACTTAAAAACTGCAAGTTAATTTCGTCTTCTCCTTTATTCGAAATTAAATGAACATATTTGTGCAGTTTTTGTTATTTGACATAGCGTAACAAGTTAACTTTTGGTTGATTTGGGAGACTTCATGTATAGAAATATCATATTAGAAGCAGCTACGGAGAAATAATAACCCAACTTTGATCACTCTAATTGGGCACTATGTCTATGTTGTTCTTGTATATCAGTCGATTTAGATAGATGCTGGCCAGCAAGACTTGTAGGGAATTTAAAAGTAGTCAGATAAGGAAAGGATTATCTGGTGAACTTACTACTGACAAGTTTGGAATTAGTTAAATTGCCCTGGCTTGAACACAACAGTGCTCAAGATGGCAATTGTTTCTGTGAGTTTTAGATGTAAAGTGTAAAACACTGAACAGTGAGCGTTGGTAATCTTAATTTGATGCCTAATTTCTCACTTTTGCCTGGGGATTCGTTCAGTAACTGCGACATTCGTTTCCTAGAATAAAGTACCGCTTCCTCTTGTCCGTGTTTTAGTAATGCCCTTTGATGATCATCGTCTGTTTTATCCGATCGCCATGAATAAACGTATTCTAATCACATGTTTTGTGCCGTTTGGGCGGGAAATCATATTTTATCTTTTCGTCACTTACAGCTAGTTAGAAATAGTTGTTTTACGTCGTTTTAAGTCCTTGATCTTGTTTAATGAGAAGTTGTGGTTGTGTCCGAGATTTTGCTTATCAAAGTCCCAGTAAATAAATAGATTCGACTTTGTCAGACACGTAGTTCCAAACTTAGCACGTTGTGATGCTGGATAAATTTCCGCTTTACGACCCTATATTTGTTTTATGAGGCTACTGAATCATCCTGGTAATTACTACAGTGTACCAATGTGGGTGATGGATATCTGAAGTTTAGTGATACTAATAGTAATAATCCAAAGTGGGTGATCCTGGACTCTGAGTAGACTATTGACTAGTCCAGGTTTTAGAAAATTTATAACCATTTTTAAGTCTCTATTATTGTATGTATAGCTAGTCAGTTAGCCTAAACCTTATTGAGGATTGTAGTAATAGTGTTTTTTGTAGAATCTTTTTCTTAACTATAGTAGAGTACCAAAAGACAAGGAAAAATCTGTCCAATATAGTTGTAGTTAAGGTTGAGGTAACTAATGTCTTCGATGAGCTTGGTTTTTAACTATCAGGTTTTGTGAAAGTTGTTTTTTAACATAGTCTTCCTATTGAATTCATACATAGCAATAGATAGTTTTAAATCTCACTAATTATTACTTCTCTGTATGATAGCACTGATCTATACTTATACCATCCCTTAATTTCTAGAGATGGAACTAGTTGTGTTGGTTAAGTCAACTGCTGTTAACATTCCCATAAAACTGGTTCTTAAACGTCTTGTGAGGTCTTCGTCGAAAGTATAGAAGTATAATTTCGATTATCTGTAATTTAGTTTAATTGATTCAACTTGACAACATGCTGGGATCTCGTGTACTAAGTTTCGAGTCACTTTCTTCAGTCCTGGTGCTACTACTCGGCTACAGAAACTGAGGTAGAGCATTTTAAGTTTCAGGCTTAGTAATGTAAAACCAAGTGCTTTCAATGTAAAGCATAGCAATAGGCAGGAGGAATATGTGTTCATTGTGCGAAGTTACAAAACCTTTACATAATACGTACACATAGCATTCAATCATCCATTTGCAGCTTCCGGTGTGTTATGCAATATGGACTGTTTTCTCGGCTAGCTTCCAAGTTTTCTGCCAACACCGTGCTTTTTGTGCACTGAAACCCTTCACTCTGTTAGATGATTCTTGCAAATTCGACGCAACGTCCTGATGCACACTAATAAACACATTTGTGAACACCCTCCACTACATCAATACCTGAGCCGTTGCTTCGAAAAAAGTAATCAAGAACGGTCCCATGAAAATTGTATGCAGATAATATGGAGGGTCCTGTTGTCAATGAATCTGAAGAAAGAATAGTGTTGAGTTTATAAGATATGATCTTAAAGCTTTTTGAATGGCATATCATAAATCGTGTACGAAACGTCATCCACTAAACAATACCGTACCAATATCTGCCATAGTCATTTTTAGAGACGGTGCACTAGTATAACGCTTATGTGATCGAAACTAGTTTCTTTTAGGACACTAATCCATCTGCCTGTATGTTATATCCACACAGTATACCATAGAGTTTCATTCCTACCACACAGAAATGAAGTCTTCCGTTTCAGATTACCCATTCTCAAAGGAAACCATCTTGCTATGTCTTTGTCCAGTGGAAGTTTATTACGCTCAGCTCAACTAGGTAATAAAGTTTACTTCTTTCAACGTTTTCAGTATTTTTTAGACAACCTTTCAGATGCGCAGGGATTAAAAAAAAGAAGAACTACGACGAGACCCCTTCTAGGTATCGACCTTCTGTACTTGTGAAGACTCTTCGTGGTTTTCAGTTTAATGATGGAGATTATGTCTATAAAGGTGATATCTTAGTTCGGCAGGTACATTGTTTTTATTGGTCTTTGCTCATTTGTAAAGCGTGAATAATTTTGTAACGGTTGTGCCATTGATATCTCTATTTTGTTGCAAGTGATAAAGGTATGCATAAAGCAGAGGGTAACATGTAGACGTATATATATCTATAGAATACCATCTGACAAGGAGCTGACAAGATGAAATCGTTCTCTTTTGTAGAATATGTCATTAGGGCTGGGTAGTTTGTAATGTCTTTTTTGCACGACTACGTGAAACTCATGAGCAGTCCGTCAATCATGACCAATACAAAAGCCTGGCACATGTGCGCCTTATCCGAAGTTTCCATATTACACTAGGACGAGGAGGGCTAGAATAGTGTGGTAAGTGTTAGTGAGGGAGACCAAATATGAGGAATGTGGTGTGAAACGACAATGAGAAGAGATATATGAAGGGGTAATGAACTCCAGATCTAGAGTACGATAAAGTTGGCACGTTTGTCTCATTATGGCCGCTTCTAAGTCATGTTACTCCAACCACCGATCACACAGACTTCAACCAGGTGGTCAGCATCCACCGAAATGGGTCAATCAAATAGTCACTGGCTTTATGCACTGGTGTCACATCTTGTTTTGGTTATCCCTAGCATTCTCACAACTTTCTCTTACAACAGACAGCATTCCCTGTCAATGTAAAAAGTTGTCGGGCGTACATAATACATGTCCAAACCACCTCAATCGATGATGATTCTAGGCGGTATATGTTTAGGGTCTATACATTGTTATGTAGATTCCTTGAATCTTAATTCTTGGCCGATTAACTTTGGTTCACCCAAGGTATGTCTTGCATTTGTAAACAGCCCACGTTTGCTGAGAGGATATTTAGAAACATCACAATTGTTTTCGCTTTCTCCAATTTTAATAGCGACCTGTAATCCAGTGTAATGATCATCTATTTTATCGAGTTTGTTTTGTTCATATCTTTTAAGTGTAACTGGCTCATCGTATCATGTATGAAGTCGTAGGATATATACAAGTTTGGAGGATGTTCACATATCCAATCCATCAAAACAATCCATAGTGGATGATTAAGCAGAATATAGTACAAATTTTAACTAAAATATTTGGTACCAAAAATTGCTTTCTGGTTATTCATCCAGTTAAGTTTCTCAGTGTAGTTGGAGAGACTTTCACTGTTCTGTAGAATTTGCTTTGTTAGTATTTTCTCTTAGTACGTTTCGTAGCACCTATGAAGTGACAAGCGCCCTGGTACAGTTGAGGATTGGGAGAGTCCACTCTCGGAATGTTCTCATATAACCACTTGCATATAGCCACGGCCAAGGAATTCGTACTAACTGCCTTCTCGTGATAGGGGTATTGTTTAGGGAAGTAAGAGGATAAAACGAATATCCAGCGCTTGTATCGGGTTAGTGGATACAGAAAATTCATCTGGAAAACTTGGAAAACACTGATTCAAACCAATTGTGCACATGGGCTCTAGCGACCTCAGGGGTTGAGTAGCTCACGAACCTATTCTTGGTCACCGGCTATCATGGAACTGTATCTTTTAGCGTTGCTCCACCACCTTGTAAATTAGATCTCCAGTTCAAAGGTTTGGGAGTGGTTACTTACTGACGTTTGTTACCCCTTGTGGAGAAGCATAGGCTGCCCACCAGCATTTCCTATCGAACTCGACTCTGAACAATCTTTTCCAGTTGCTATTCATCCTTTTCATGTATGCTTCCAATTCTCGACGTTGTGTGTTCTTCGGTCTTTTTCTTTTCCGTTTCCCTTCAGGATTTCAGGCTAGTGCTTGCCTCGTGATGCAGTTTGATGACTTCCGTAATGCATGTCCTATGCACCTCCATCGTCTTCCCATAATTTCCACTTCAGCTGGAAGCTGTTGACCTCAAAGTTGAGCGTCTACTGAACCCTTCCGGTTCAGCAACACTGTTGAAAACGTTTTCTGGTACCGATTGTAGTGTGATGCTTCCGTAGTTCTCACATTTGTTCAGATCTTCTTTCTTTGTATCTTAATGAGGTATCCTTCTTTCCAGTCTGTCAGTGGCACTTGTTCTTCCTCACAAACCTTCCTGAGTAGAAGTGGAGCACGTTTGCAGTTACTTTTATGTCTGACTTCAGTTCTTCGGTTGATATACTGTCAGGTCTTGCTGTTTTCCCACTCTTGATTTATCTAATGGTCATGCTGACTTGTTCGATCATTGGTGGAGTGAAACTTTTAGGAAGGTCTGTGTGTGCTGCTTTGATGTTCGGTGGATTCAGTGGAGCTGGTCGATTCACGAATTCCTCAAAGTGTTCTACCCATCTGTTTCTCTGTTCTTGAATCTCACTGATTTGCTTGCCTTCTTTGTCCTTGACTGGTGTCTCTGGTTTACTATATTTCCCCTGCAGTTTCTTCGTTGTGTCATATAGTTGTTTTATGCCTCCTTCTCTTGTATCTTTTTCCTCTGTCGTTGCTAGGTCTTCCATGTGTTTGTGCTTGTCAGCTCTGACGCTCTTCCTGATTTCATTGTTTGCTTCTATGTACTCAGCTTGTGCCTTGACCTTCTCTGTTCTTGTTCCGCCATTGTTAATTACTGTCCTCTTGTTCTTCTTTTCTTGAGTCTTGTCCGGGGTTTCTATAGAGATCCATTCCTTATGATGTCTGATTCCCCCAGGACCTCCTGACACGTTGAAGTTAGTGATTATTTGATCTCTTTTCAGTTGTCGTCCATAGTAGTTTTTTCTTGTTTGAGTAGATCCTGTAAGGCTTGTAACCTGTTGTTGAGAGCTATCTTGAATTCTAAGTGCTAAGTACTTTTGCAAGACTGACAGGAGCATGTACTTGTACTCACTCTTGGTAGTGAGCAGTTGGAAGTTACCAAAAATTTAGTAAGTACTAGTGGTGTCATGATTGATGAGATCAGCTTACGTTTAGTGAAAGCCAGAGTAGCCTACCAGTCTGGGCTATTGTTGCAGCCTTCGTGATATTAGTCAGACTTGAAAGTTGGGCCTACGGTGCTTCCTTTAATAGCGATTTCTCTCTATACTTGTGAAACCTGGCTTCCGGGTTGAGGATGTTAGGCAGCTTCTCTATGTTTGATGATCGTTGTCTTCGCAGGATTGCTGACATTCTATCGCAACACCACGTTAACAATGCAGATGTTCGGCCACGTGTATTTGTTCAAAGTGATGGTAATCCAAATGGTGCTACCGGCTTTGGTGGCTTGGGCCCTACGGCATGAATGTTGTTCCGGCAAATTTTACATTATTCGTTATTTGCAAACTCTAGAAGTAGTTTGAAAAACGGAGAGGTAATCAATTTATGACAGTGCCTTGGCATGAAAGAAAGCTGTATAAGACTAGAATCCTTCGGCCTTCTACGGCTTCCTGGTTGAATTCCTAGATATAGTGCATTATCGTAGTTTGAGTCGTTATTAAACAGCTCAGAATAAAAGCCAGTGATATTCCTGCTGTGATTTTCTTTTAGTTTTTCTAGAAAAGTGAGAGAAACTTCTTTAAGTGAAAGAATTCTTCGTGATTGTATTTTCTTAACCGAACTAGTCTTACTACTGTCTACTACTCTCATTCCCCTACTTTTATTCATTTCTTGCTTTTATAAAGACTATATTCACCTTCTTTCCTATGTTTTTTCAGTCTCATTTACTTATTGTATGGCGCATATTTATACCAGGTAGAATAACGTAAAACTGATCGATAAATCATGTTTCACAGAATTATTTTGTAGTAACAACCTAGAGTTGTTAGTTAGTTGGAAATATAAATTAACAGGATTCCGAACTAAACCACGATAGTCTTATTATGCATAATGTTTTCTCAAATATATTTTCATTTATTACTGTATTAGTTTTTTCTGTGGAATTTTATTCCAATCTTTTAGCTTGGTATGGAAATATACCCGGGTGAATCTGTCAAATTAGACCCAGAAACATGGAACTTAGTAGCACTAAGTAATGGACGTTTCACCATTAGTACAGAGAAGCTTTCACCGTTTCCTGACAGCCCTTTATATGATAAAGTGAAGGACGGCGAAGTAATTTATAAACCATTTGTTCATGTTATTGGTGATCCAATCGAACCACTATATAAACTCAAGCGCATTTTGTAACTAGTGACAATTAAAGCTATCATACTCAACAAATTGATTTGCTTTCTAACTTTTTCTGAAGTTATTCACCTCGTTAAATCTTTATTGTGTAACGTCATATCTGTTTATCGTCAGTTTTATTTATACAATAGGGATTTGATAACAAAACTAAGTCCCAGAAAAGGTTTGGAGAACCACATTAAGATAATTAATAATTTCGAATATTGGGGAGATAAAGTTCTCATTTTCATACTTCCATCAAGGATGTTAGACGGATTGGAAAAACGTGTTTAAAATGCTTCATTTGGTTATATATATATATATATATATATAGTATTGAAGTATGATTTTCTTCTTACTATGCTTTACGATTGGGTGAAATTTTGATGGACTTCTGAATGGCAATACACTCACCTATTAGTTCATATTCATTGTATCCTTTATTGTTACCATGCAATCTAAATTAAGGTACGTTCCCCAAACCTTACCTTCAGTCAATGGTTAGATAAGGTTATTGAATTCCGAACACCATATATGAACTAATTGTAATGCAGATAATTTCTAAGTTCAGTTAACAATGATTGAACTAAACTCACAGTCCCTGACTATGAGAAGTAGTACTTTCTGCAGTAGAAATGGACACTTGAATTAATGAAGTTGATTATCATCATTTATTAATCATTCAATGTCAAAGTCAATATCGAAAACGTTTGTTCCATTTTCTAGTTACGTTTTCTGTCTGGATATGTTTCCGACTACTTTTAGCCAATATAGTAGCGTATACGCCGACAATTACTTAGGTTTTAAGCTTTAAATGTCAGTCTAACCCATAAAATATCACAAATATCTTTAGTCTTCAAGTTAACTTATCTTAATATTATATTCTTTCTTAATCCAACTAAGTTTCGGTGCATCAGGTTTTGCTGCTACTTGGAAGTCTACTCCACGTAAAAGTAACTAAGGGTAGTTGGAATATTCCCAACAGTACTTTGTCCATCAAATTAGACGGCTTGTCTAAAGAGGCATTTTTTCCAAATGCTGATCTCTTAATTCTTAGTACGCATTCTCGGACCTTTCAATTTCTGAAGGCTAGTTGAATCAGAGGTTAGAAAGGACGGATATCATGGCTAATTCGGACAGGCAGGTCGTAAGATAGGTTTGAAAGACTGTCTGTTTCTATCCACCACCACTTATTTTTCCGTCCGTATTGCTTTCTTAGTGCTTGACGACTCGCGATCATCGCTTAAACCTTTGGGAGTTCTATTAGTCTTTTCTACGATTTCTACAACAAGCTGGAGATAATGCTAACCTCCCTTAAAATGTGGACTTTTAGCGATTCTATAGCTAATCCTTTCCTGAATATCTCATTGACATTATCTCGACTAATTTTCATGGGGTTTTCCAGTTGTGTGTTTCCTGTAGATAACGGCTTCCAACAAAAAGTTTGATTCCCGCTGCAGTCGGTAAGCGTCCAAGTAGCAACAACAAACAGGATACCATTAATGTTTTGATCTGTTCCAGTTTTGTAATGATATGGAGCCAGATAGGAGATAATCGATTTGTTTAATGCATATATACCAGAGATCAAAGTTTTAGGATATCGGAAACACGATCGTTGTGAGTTCATTAAGTTCAAATGAGCCAGTCTATTTAGATCATGGATCGGATTTTTTGAAATTAATCAGAAAGTTCTATGGTTTTCGCTACTGAGCCATGTTTCCCTGTTGACTGTAAACTTGTAACGTCGAAAGCTTCAATATGTTATTTCAAGCGCGGTTGTGCCTTCTTTAATGAAATACCTAGTGGGACCATGTGGTCAAACATTCCGCTCTGTTGGGACACAAAGATTTCTTAAAACATCTTAATAACAAGCACCACATAATCGTTTTGGGTTTACACTAAATGAACAGATGTTGGATTTTCTTCATTCGCATGGTAAGGTCACTATCTTTTCCTTGATGATGAAGTTCTGAGTCACTTTTTCTTCCAACAGTCTGTTTCACAAATTTTGTTTTCAAGAAGACGAATAAAATTCTCCAATAATTTTAAACTTTTAAAGAAAACAAGTTTTTATTTTTCGAGAAAATTGTACTTTTCATAACGAAACTGATGTAATAAGTTTGTATCTTTCGTATTGACGTTGAGTCAGTGTAGGAACAGAATCTCTTCCACTATAAATGAAATGGAACTAATTTCATCAAGTACTGCTTTCTATGTTTGGGTTTCTGACGATGTTGTATGAACAGTTTTTAACGACTTAGTTAACATAAAACGTTCGCATCATTTAATACAGTCAGTAGATTATACATGGAGTGCTAAAATATTCGGTAATATCCAATGTTATTGTCTACCAGTAAATATAATCAACAACAAAGTTCAAAAATATTTTTATTTTATTTAACTGCCTAGTATTTTCCAAACACCATCAAAACTTTGTTGTGATAAATCTTTAAGGAAATATTGTCTGAAAGGAATTATTACAATTAAGTAGGTTAATCAGTATAAAGTAGTGAACTAAATTTGATGAAGTTATAAATATACTAGAAAGAGGGTTAGAAGTTTAAGCTCATCCTGGAAATCAGATAAATTATACTGAAACCAATATGGCTGTGAAGTAAACATTAATCAAGAAATGGAAGCAGATGTTTCTTGAAGTGCTTATTTTGATATACAGGTATGCATTGATAGAGCTTTCAAATCAAACAAAATAACATTGTGGCAAAAGGCGACGCACGGTCTATCCTACCTTGGATAGCTTTTATAAAGGATGAATGAATAATTTACCCTTGTGCTTACGAGAAGATAGATTCAATTCAGCCTAGGAAAAGGTATCGATTTAACCTATTTGGAACTTGATAAGTAGCAAATTTACAAAACTTTTTGTGTTCATGAGAATGTAGTGAAGAAATATGCATAAAATCATCGGAGAGCTTTGATAAGTGGTAAATGGAGGATTAGTGAGAAGTTGGTGTTATTGTATTAAGAGAAACATTTTAGTGATGCTTATTTAGCTTTATTGGTAAATTTAACTTCTGAAAAAGTAGATTCAATAATTAACGATGCTGCCTTCGAATTGATTATTTTAGCACTTACCTTCATGACATACACTATAATGTAAAAATCAAGTCAACAGTCATCTCATTTCTACTATTCATCTATCATTTTCAGAGTGTTCTCTGGATAGTGTTGACCAGATTAGTAATCCGAGTAAATACATGTTTGTTTTCGTATACTTTCCTTGACGATATTGAAGTTTAATTAAAGGTCGCCAAGACGTATTAACTTATTTTTGAGTTCTAGACCAGTTCACTAGTTCATAGCGTTTTTAGAGTTGAATCACCTTGATTATTAAGCACTGTCCTAGGAACTAGTTTCAAGTAGTACTCAATTTTATTCAACTGAACGATACTGCTGTTTTAAACAGTATAGGTGAAACCGACCGAAACTTATAAATCTCAGTAATTACTGAGTACACCGATTGAGAACTGTTTAACTTGAATCTGAGATATTATGGTCATCATTGTACGATGGGATTATTTTTATAATGGATTGTGGAAGATTTCCATTCATTTGAAACCGTCTGGAAGAAAATCATCAGAAGCTTTGAGAACAAATAGTATTGGTATAAAGCTTTCATTAGGTTTAACCCCTATATTTCATGTATACCAGGTTGATTGTGAATTAAAAATAAGTTAGTAGCCTCTGAACGAAAGTTCATTCGTTCAAGGATGTGATAGCTTAGAAGACTAGATTAAGAGCCTGTAAAAACAGCTTTAAATGCACGGTGAGTTATCGGTGCTTAATCTCCTATCTGCAATTAGTTTAACTCATTAAAGCTAGTGACGTCAAGTATTTATCGCATATTGATCGATATATTTTTAGCATGGCGTTTACTGACAAACAAGTTTTAATGAAACTGTTGTAAATTATCTTTGAAGACTCAAATAAATTTGAATTTCATTGTTCAGGAAAATGTTAGTCTTTAGTTATTATCTGAAAGATGATCGTCACACTTTTTTATAATAAATGTTAGAAATTGATTCGTCAGGTTACCTTAAGGTTGTACAATTTGAAAGCAAGTTAATAACTAATACCCATCAGGTATCTCTGTTTGTCCCTCAAGTAACTATTTTTCAAGCCATGATAAAGAGACAATACTTGAGGATGGATATAATCAATATCAATATGAAGTAATTTGGTTATTTGAAAATGCAATTCTTTCGTGGCTTTTTTTTCTCATTTAAGATTAAGGTTACAGTTAATGTTGTATCACTGAGTAGAAGTACAGTAGCATAACTAATTTAAACAGTCGCCAATTTAATAAGCTTTCCATATTCATCACTATTTAGCAACTTACAAAATTACATCAATCAGCTCCCTAAATTCGTAGTGTTGTGATTCTTATTCCGTATTAACGCACATTACTGGTTATGTAAAAGGGAATACTTCGACAAAATCTGGCTTTGCTTCGACTATCATATTGTTTGTTGTGAAATTCATGTTTTTTCATCTAGGAATCGCCATCATTATTGATAAAAATCTCGGTTGTTTATATTTTAAAAAATACAAACTCAGACGTTCATTTCTCTTTTTTACAGTAACGGGACTAAAAGTATTGATTGAAAAAGGAGGTTAGCGTAACTCAGTAACCGAAAATACAATGTTTTGATTTTTGAATTAGAATCAAATATTGTTCTGATAAAACTATGTAATGATTATTAAACAGAACGACTTACATGTCATAAGTTCGCTTACGAAAAATCACTACCCAGCAGTGTTATATTGCATATAGGTTTTGTAGTTTAGTATGAGACCATTGACTCAAAGATTTCACATGACTATTACTTTAAGACAAAATACGTAATCAAAAATTATCTTAGGGCAGTTTTTAATAAATTGATGGGTCCTTTTTTAATGTAGAACATCTGTAATGTAATTGATCATAAATAAATTGTTCATCCACTAAAAGGTAAGTACATTTGGTCAGTCAACTGAAACGTTTGTCAAAATGGTGTTTTTCC